TGGAGACCAGGACCTGGGCCTGTTCTACTTTCACTTTCTTTGTCTCTGATTGGTCATGTATGGGCTCCAGAAAACACTTGGTGGATTCATCCCATGACTGAGCACCTAAACCCAGGTTGGGAGGCTTTTCTCACCCCTGGAATCCAGAGGTGGGTGTGCTCTGAAGAGTGGCTGGAAGAGGCCTTCATGAGGTGCGGGGCCCCCATAGAGACACCATCCTCTTGGATTCCAGCCTGGCTCAACCAAGATTGTAATGTAAGCAGGTTTCCTTTTCCTTTACCTTTAGAGGTAGGCAGGCAGAAAGAAAGGTGGGAAGAAAGGAAGAAAAGAAAGGAGAGAAACAGAAAAGATGGGGAGAATGTAAACTTTGTAAGAGGGTGAGGGTGTCATATTTGCAATCAGACTGAGCTCTCCCTTTCCTCTTCTAGGTGAGAAGCATTACAGGCTTCATTGAACTGAAGCCCAAGGCACAAGGCCAGTGAACACACACACACATTACACACACACACACACACACACACACACACACACACACACATCACACACACGAATGTGAACCATAAAGGCCAGTGTTATGGTTTGTGTCTAGTTGTACCCCTAAAGCCTCATAGAGTCATTGAGATGGGCTTCTAGAGTTTGTGTGAGTACTATACTTGCCCTGGGGCTGATAAGCTGCATACAAATGTAAGGAGGAGAGAGGCCTGCTAGCTGCCACAGCCACTCCTCCCTTTAGGCTCTGGGTCTTTGCTGTTCTCTGCCACCATGAACTGCTGCCCTCTGCCACATGCCACTTTGCTGTAGAGCCAGCCAAGTATGGACTGTGACCTCCACTATGTGTGAGCTAATTAAATTTTCTTTCCTTAATTCTTCCTTAATGATTTTGTGCCAGCAACGAGAGAAAAGCAACCAAGACAGCCGGTGCGCCCGTGTCTGTCCACCCTGGAGGACCGCGGACACCCTGTATCTGCCATGTTCTGTTGGGCTGAGACTTTATCAAAGACGCCATTGAGAAAAGGAGAAGGACAAGAATAGTGACTGCCTGAAATGGAGGGCCTATATAATTTTCAGTTTCCTTTTCTTCTTTTTATTTACTTTTCAGGGCTGTAGTTTGGACCCAAGGTTTCATGCATGTTAGGTAAGCGCTGGAACTCTACCAATGGCCCCACGCCATTGTCCAGAGCTACCAGTGCACAGGCTTGAAATCACCAAGCTCTAACAAGGACTGTTTCATGGTATTCAGAAGCAAGGAAAGTGGAAACTGAATAGCTGCAAATGTTGGTAAGCAAAACTACCAGCAAAGAATGCCACAGTCTCACTTAACAAGAATAAAGATCACCAGTGTACAAAGCATGAATGTGTTCTCAAGTGCAAGCAAAGGGTGGCCTTGGAGCTCAGTGGTAGCACTCTTGCATAGGGTGCATGAGGCCTAGGATTCAAAATCCTGAAGTACCACAACAATTCCCAGTTTCAGGCAATATATGGGATCTCTTACTTTATCCCATATACTATATAAATGTAATTTATATGATAGATTAAATGTAATTTATATATGTATACATTATATATTAATATAAATATATGTATTTATACTAATACATAATATAATATAAATATATGTATTTATACTAATACATAATATAATATAAATATTTGTATATAAATATATATGAAATACATAATATATTATGATATGCATAAGACTTAATTGTCTTCAATGGTTTTACTTTTATCTTAACATGACTATATTGTAAATTTCAGTATAGTCTTAGAAAATGAAGACAGCATATGTTGTCACATTATGCTTTCTAGAAAATATTGCTAGCAGGCTTTTATTTGATGAGTCAGCCTAGTACTTTCTAAATTACAGAATATTATCTGTGAGCAATTTAGCTACAGAGACATCTGAGATGGAAATATAGCTCCCTTCATTAGTATTTCTAGCAGTGTGAATATTTCTAACTGTTAATATTTCTTTGGTTAACATTTCTAAGAGCAAGGTGAAATTTATTTTGTGATTCTAAGACATTTTTCTTTAAATACTGCCCAGTGTCTGGATTGAGTTGAGCAGGTGGTCTGAGTTGAAATTCATCGTTCTCCAATGTATCCTTTGTTTATTTTTTGCTTATGTCTCAAGAAGCTGTTGGTAAAATGACAAACACTCAGAGAACAAGGACGTGGGTCTGACTGTTGTCTTCACCCTTAACCCCAGCACCTGGCCCCCATGGCCCTCACACTTGGTCTACACTGACGAGCCATCCCAGCATCGCTCCCTCTTTGCAGTGCCATGGTTATCCTCACATCCGGATGTCTCTGATAGCATCCTCATCAAGGCCCTGCCCAGGGAGCCAACCTACCCCACTGCTGAGGTGACAGAAGGCCGTGTGTGTCGCCTGCTATGGATTCAACTGAGAAATTTCTCTTCAAAATCTCCTGTCCTCAGAGCAGGTGCACTAGGTGGATGACTGGACCAAAGGCCACTCCTAGCATTTAATTAATCACAGATCCATAGTTCAGTGTGTGGTTGGAAAGCAGAGCCAGCTTGGAAGACGCAGGTCACATTTGGAGTGCCTGAAGGATGTGTCCTCCTCACGGTTCCACCCTTCTCTCTGTCTCCTGACTGTCATCTCTGCCCCAGTTGACAGTGGACCGTGTCTGCTCAGAAGAAGAAGCCCAGACAACTCCCTTCAAATTCTTGCTGTCAGTACTGTCTCTCAGTGTAAGATCACATTCACAAGCTGTATATAATAGAAAATTAGCAGTGTTAAAAACTTCTAATTCAGAGAAATCTAAATCACTCCCAGCTAAATAAAGGATACACTGTGTGTACTGATTGGAGACTCATAGAAAGTTGTTAATTTTGCCTAAGTTGATCAATAGAGTTAATCTCAACAGATTCTGTGGAAATTTGAAAAATCGCTTCTATAATTTGTTTCAAAACCATATAGTTGAAAGTGAAGCAAAGCTGGAAGACTTACACCTCCTGATACCAGTTCATACTATAATAATTAAGATAGTGTAGTTTTTGGCACAAGCTTCAACAACTCTAGCAACGGTGTAATGGAAAGTCCAGAAAGAGAACTTTATATGTACAATCACCAAATTGATATAGACACACCATTCTAACTAAATGGAAGAATAATACTTTCGATAAATAGTGCTGCCATAAGTGGATATGTACTAGGGATAAAGTTTAAGAAAAAAAATGGGAGAATGTCCTCAACATTAGGGGACAGTGAGTGATTTCTTAAATAAGAACACAAAAGTTGAGCTGGTAAGATAGCTCAGCGGACTAAATACCTGCTTAGGCAAGTGCAGGAATCAGGGTTTGATCCCTGGCACTGCATGCTGTGCCAGCCCCACCCCCGGAAGAGCTGAGCCGGCTACAGAGTCTGGGCGTGGTGGCACAGGCCTGAAATCCTGGGGCTGGGGAGGCTGAAAACAGGAGGACCACTATGAGTCTGAGGTGTGTAGTGAGACCCTATACAAAATACATTTAAGAGCACTTTTTTTTTTTTTGTTTTTTAACCAAGATGGTGTCGAAGGTGAAAAAGGAAGCTCCAGTCCCTTGCAAAAGCTTTGAAGGCCAAGAAGGCCATGCTTAAAGGCATCCACAGTCACAAAAAAAGATATGAATGTTACCCACCTTCTGACATCCCAAGACACTCTGTCTCCAGAGGCAGCCCAAATATCTTGGAAGAGTGCCCCCTGGAGAAACAAGCTTGACCACTATGTCATCTTGAAGTTCCCCCTGACAACAGAGTCAACCGTCAAAAAGATCGAAGACAACAATGCACTCATGTTCATTTGTGGATGTCAAAGCCAATAAGCACCACATCAAACAAGTTATAAAGAAGCTCTATGACATCGATGTTGCCAAGGTAAATACCCTAATCAGGCCTGACAGTGAGAAGGCATATGTTCAACTGGCTCCTGATTATGATGCATTGGATGTTGTCAACAAAATTGAGATCATCTAACCTGAGTCCAGTTGGCTAATTCTAAATACATGCTTTTTTTCCCCATTAAAAAAAAGTATTTTAAAAAACCCCTACAGGGGCTGGGGAGATGGCTCTGTGGAATAAGCGCTTCCCCGGCAAGTGCAAGGGCCTGAGTTGAATCTCTGGTTCTGCAAACAAACAAACAAACAAACAAAAAACCCCACCTACAAATAAAAAGTAAACAGAGCATCTCTATGCTGGTGCACTGCTGTTTGGAAGATAATTTGTGTGGTCATTTTGGAAAACAAAGCTAAATAAACATTTTTCCTTTACCAACAGCTCTCCTCCTGAGTGCACAGTGGGGAAAAAAAATTAGTGTACTTCGTATACCAAAAATATACCATAAAAATATTGTTCAGGATTTGTGTTAGTGGTCCAAACACGTAACCCCCTCAAGTGTCCATTCACAATTAAAATAGGCGAACTAAAGTTTATGAATGCCATGACATTGTACACAGCAAAACAGATAAACTCTGCTGCAGGGAGCAACATGAATGAAACTCATGGAATTCATTTGAATTGAGAAAAGCAAGACCTAAGACAGCACGCACTGTGTATTCAGTCTGCATGGAATTCACAAGAGACTCAGGGTGTGCTGATAGACATCAGGATATTACCTCTGGGAATATCAATTCAGGGAGTTCTCAGTGGGTACTTAGGGTCCTAGAACAGTTCTACATCTTAACCCAGAGCATGGTTGCCGGGGTCTACATGTGTGTGTTAACATTACAATGCAATTTCTGGTCACTTGAGATTTATAGTCTTTCCATAACTTAGTATCTCATTAAAAGGAAATAAAATCCAGACAGAAAGTTATACAATAGATCATTTTGATACTCGAGACTGATCAAGTAGTTATGGAATTAGGCTGGGATGACCACGTCGTCTTCAAACTCTTCTACCCAGAGACAAAAGAAGGTTCTAGGAGGCACAAGTGTTTATAGTAAATGGAAAAATGTGCACATTTATTTTTAATGCCTTAGCAAATAAACATGACCCAAGTAAAACAATTATAGTTTAATTAGCTTTAGGTAATCATTGCAAGATGTAAAACATCGGTTCTGCTTATAGTAAGCATTCGTAATAAGCTTAGTATTACTACTTCCCTATCACTACTATTGTTGATTCCTTGCTGTTCAGTCATTGTTACTGATGGAGCCTGAAGTCCTCAGTGCCCGCTCCTCGACTTCCCTGGCTTCTGGCTTCTGCGCGCCACCATCCATCCTCGTCGCTTTCTCCACAAGGGTGCCACACAGGAGTGGCTCTGGGGACGTTGCTATAGTTTATCTTTGTAAGCTGAGCATGGGCCTCTGGAACGAGGAGGGGATGGGTTTTTCCGTCAGACAGACCACTCACAGACGGCCTCAAACGCATCGGAGCATGGGACGTCGTTCCACTTGCCATCCCGCAGGATCGCCACGCAGTCTTCATTAGAGCCAGCATTATTGGGTTCCCCGTTGTTCCAGTTGGTGTAGCTAGGCCTGATTCCCTTCCTGTCCACGAATTCGCCTTCGTTCCTCTCGTCCGTGATGCCCAGGAAGGGATTCTCATGAGCCACATTTCGGATGGCCCTGTTCTCCTCCGCGTTCCTGGGCGTGGGCACCGAGGCCTGAAACTGTGTGCACAGAGCCTGCACTCTGTCGAAGCTCCTGCGTTCGTGACGACTCAAGTAAAACTTCTTGCCAACTTTTTTGCCAAGCGAAAAGAATAACCCTAAAATGGGAAAAAGTGGGTGACACTGGCTGTTTTTGAGCACAACCTCAGTTATGTCCCTGGCTAAAGGCTTCCAGAGTGGAGTTGCTGGATAAGATAGCTCATGAAAAGTTAAATTTGAATTTCAGGGAAGGAGGAATATTTTCACTCAAACAAACTCCCATGAAATTTTGGGACATGCTTGTGCCCCCTGAAAAAAATATGTTCATTTGTTTTTTATATAAAATTGAAATACTATAATTCATGTATTGTCTTTTATTTGTTAATTCTGTCAACCTTTAAATGAGGGCTTTAGGACAAGATAAAACCTATATCCTTTTGGGTGAGAATTAATGAACACAAAGAATTTGGAATTCTGATGTCTCCTATACTGTTAATGTAATCCTGGAAAGGGGTCTGAGAATATTTGCCCCAGTGGGAAGGAACAAGGTTGTTTCCATTTCCAGGTTTAGGCCAGCAGAAGTAAAAGGCATAGACCCACTGTCAGAGAGCAAAAATTCGAGAACTGAGGAGCAGCACATCTAGGAGCAGACTGACTTCAGTTTAGAAACTGGTTCTGCCGCCAAATATTAGCTCTGTGCACTTGTGCAAGTAATTAATTTCCTCCTTCTTTGATTTCTACTACAAGTTTATTCTGAGGATCTCAAGAGACCAGACTAGGAGAATGACCTATCGAGATACTAGAAAGCCACAGGTACTTAGTCGGTATTCACTGCCCTCCACTGTTCTTGAACTCTACATTGTCTAAAGAATAAGAGAAAATGCTTACATGTCTTGATCTGCTCCACTTCATTCCACAGAGCTTGTGTCTCAATGTCATGTCTACTTCTGTCATCACACACTAGAAAATTAAAAGAGTGAGGAGTCATTTTTTAAAGATGGAGTTCGAGAATTGTGCCCATAGGGACTGGGGTATTTATTTTCAAATAAAAAGAAGCTTCATTTCCAGTGACATCTTGTACTTTGAAGGCAAATGAAAAATTCTAAGAAAAAAAAAATCTATAGCTCACCCATCCTAAAACATTGACTTTCACCTGAAGATTTACTACTGTTTACTATCATTTTGCTTCAAAAATAAGACCTAGTGGGCCAGCGAGATAGCTCAGTGGACTAAGCAGGGATCCTCAAATCACAGGCCACCCAGCCACTCCCCCGGGTGTGCTGAGCCCGTGACCTAATCCGGGCATAGTGGTGCACACCTGTAATCCCAGTGCTGAGGAGGCTGAAAACAGGAGGTTCACTCTGAGTCCAAACTGCATAGCAAGACCCCATACCATATACATAAAAAACAAAATAAATACATAAATAAAAAGATCTAGCCAGAAAATAACCAACTTTGAAAACCAGAGTCAAAAATGCCATAACCACTTCATGGCCTCTTCACTAAGATCACGTGTAAGAGTACTGGCTTCAATCGTGCTGTCACTGCCTTACCTACTGCCACATGGTCTTGGACAGTGGCCTCTCTGTCAGGCAGCCTGGGCAAGGACAGGTCGCTTGGCACTGGCATTTTGGATCTCCAGCTCTCAAGGCTGTGCATTTTCTGGCTAGCTCTTACATTCAGGAAAAGAGACTCCAACCGGCCCGTTGATCTACATATAATCCCCTCACCTACACATGGCTTCCTGTTGACCTAGCATGATAGAACTCGATGGACCAAAGTTTTACTGAGTTTTGTGACTAGAGTGCTTTATCAAGGCTGACAGTAAATCTCTGGAGAAACTATGACCTGGGAAATGTTAACTAAGGTATTTTCTTTAAGAGGTTTTGCTGACTGTTCTTGCTTTGCTTCTATTTTTCTCAAGTTTGCTCTGAGATACATCAAGAAGCCAGAACATTTGTAAGCTGCCCACTGACCAGGTGGGTGGAGGAGATGGCAAGCATGGCTTCCACACCATGCACTCTGTGAGTCTGGGCTGGGCTTGCGACTTTCTGAGATCAATGCTGTGTAGCGAAAAATAATAAGTGTGTTCTAAGATGCAGGAGGCCTGGGAGTGTCTATTTTTCATACTCTGGGAGCTCTGTTATTCCCTCTGTCCCTGTGGTAGCCTGGTGAATGTCAGGAGTCCCATGAGATGATGTCAGGAGACTCACGAGATGATGTCAGAACATCCACGAGATGATGTCAGGAGACCCATGAGATGATGTCAGAACACCCATGAGATGATGTCAGGAGACCCATGAGATGATGTCAGGAGACCCACGAG